AGAGCTGCCCCAGCACTGCAGGGGGAGATCCCCAGAGACTCTCACTTAGGTGAGATGAGATGATACAGAGGAGTCCTGGAGACAGGAGGGAAGTCCTGGGGAGGCCAGAGCTCCAGGGAAAGCCTCTGACCCGCAGCAGAGGTGTGGGGCAGGAGCAGAGCTGTGCCCTGGCTCCCCTCCCAGCTCTGGGTCCCCCAAACTTCTCTTGTGCAGGAGGGAACAGCACTTGCCAGGAGATCACAAGCACTGAACGTGCTCAGTCCTTCTTCCAGAAAGAAACCAGAGTTTGGATAAAGCCTCAGAGGATCCCAAAATGCCACCTGCTCCCCTGCAGGATGAGGTGGAAAGATGCTTCCAGTGGGTTGACTTCAGTTGCTAGTATAAAATATATCAACAAAACTGTGAGATAAAGGCCCCCCCTGCTCCCCCCTGCCACACAGACACCAGGTTTACAGCTGTTATTTATTTGCTCCTTTGTCACACAATCATCAGTAACAGTCGTGCTCCGTTGTAGCAGCACAAGCATTCAAGTTTAAGGAAGCAGGGAAGGTTTTTTAGGTACCATTTTTCTTCCTCAACCACACAGAATTTACCTTTTTAAAGCAAATAAAGAAATGGTGCTACCCCAAACCCCACTGACACGCTCCCATTCAGCACGGTGCTGAACAGCAGCCCAGAGCCACCCCAGGGGGACACCCAGGAGGTGACAGGCTCCATCCTGGTGTCACCAGCCCAGCAGGGGAGAGGGGAGAAACCTGAACCAAAATCCTTTCAATCTTTTGGTAGTTTCAGGTGCAAAACTGCTGTCTGAAGAGCTCCTGTACTTGAGCAGATCTGCAGCGTGCAGCCAAGAGCAAGAAACACGGAAGAAAATAGAATTAAGAGGAGGAAGATGCATGAAAGACACAGATGCCAGGCCTGCCAGGTCCCACCACCCTGCTCTCCTCTTGGAAAACAGCTGGAGGGGCACAGCCCACTCACTGGAAACCTGGATTTATTCTTCCCCAGAGTTTCTCTCCTTCACCCACCTCGACACACTGTCAGAAAACCAGCCCCAGGGGCTGTCCCCTCCCTGCAGAGCAGCTGGGGTCACACAGCACTGCTCTGAGCCCTGTTTCCTCTGGCCATACATGGAGCCCTTCTCCATTTCCACCATCAGCTCTGTGGCCCTTCTGGTGGGTGATCAACCCCAGCAGCTCCGGGCATCTGCTCCCAGTCAGGCTGGTGAGCTGGAGCCTCCCAGCACCCAGAACAGTGCCTGGCAGCAAGGCCTCTGCAGGAGGACAGGCTGGTGAGGAGCTCCCAGGGTTCTGAAGCAGCAGACAAGTCCCTTCTCTCCTCAGGGTGGTGCCAGCAGAGGTGCCAGGTGGGTCACGCCGAGGAGCAGCGAGCAGGGACACGCAGCAGGCTGCAGGTGAGAGCAAAAGGGAGCAAGCAACAGCACAACCTCCAGGGCCACATGCTGCTGCCTGGAGAAGCCACCACAGCCCAGGACAGGGGACGTGGGGTGGGGGAGAGCTCTGGGCAGCCCCCCGAGTGCTGCTCCCAGAGCCAGAGCTCCCTGCCTATTGCACAAAGCCAGCCCCGGGCTGGTGGGGGCAGAGGGGATCCACCACCAAAACTGGGATTAGTGAAGCCAGAAGCAAGAGACTCAGCAGCACGGAGGAGAAGTCCAACCCTTCCCCCAGCAACGCAGCTCCTGCCTTCTGTAGCTGCTGCATTTTGTCTCCATTTTAGCTGAAGACACCTCAGGCCCAGAGTCCCACCCTCTGCGTGCGCATCAGGCTCCTACAAAACTAGCAGGAGGTTTCTCCTAGACCTCAAGGTTTGACCCTTCCCCACACCCCAGGCTCTGAGCCACGTACCAGCACTTGGAAAACAACCTACACGTGGCAGCTTTGAGAGCCAGCAACAGAAGGATAAATATTCTTCATCATCACATAAATATGCTGCAGGACATCTCAACAAGGGCAAAGTGCTTTTTTTTTGTTTTGTTTTGTTTTGTTCCTGAATTAAAACAAAATAAAAACCTAAATAGGACTGTCTCAACCACAACAGAAGGTTCAAAATAGTCTAAAGGAGACGTCAACTGACATGGAAATGCCCCAGGCAGAGGGCTCAGTCCTTTGGCACTCTGAAGTTATCCTTCTCCTTTCGGATGGCCCCCATCGTCCGGATGGGGTCTGTCTCCCCAGCGTGCTGCTGAACTGTCTTCTCCCTGCCAGGAGGGAACACCAGGCACAGCCAATGCAAAGGCTGCAAGATCCAATCTCACCTATGAAGTCACTAGGATCACGTTTCGCCCGCACGGAGAAGAAATGTTGCACTTAAAAGATCAAAGATTGGGGACTCTGGCACAGGCTTATCGGCTCGCTGGGTTTATTGCTGCTCAGCAAGAGGAAATTGGGAACACTCTGAGGCCTCCAGCAGCACCTCGTGCTGTGCCTGCCTGCCAGAGCTGCGTGATGAAGGAACACAGAGACAGGGTGGAGCTTGTTCTGCCTCCTGAGTCAGGGACTTCAGCCCTGGCACCACATCACCCTGCAGCAAGCTGCTGCCAGGATGGCAGGGGTGTTTTTAGGAGGGTCTGGAGGGCCTCAGACCAGGGGGCTATGTGAGGCAGGAGGGCAATTCCTGCTTGTGGCTCTTTCTTTGCAGACCTCCTCCTCCTCCTCCCCACGTCCCCCCTCCAAAGTCAAGGGCCCCTGCCAGAGCTGCGTGATGAAGGAACACAGAGACAGGGTGGAGCTTGTTCTGCCTCCTGAGTCAGGGACTTCAGCCCTGGCACCACATCACCCTGCAGCAAGCTGCTGCCAGGATGGCAGGGGTGTTTTTAGGAGGGTCTGGAGGGCCTCAGACCAGGGCTATGTGAGGCAGGAAGGCAATTCCTGCTTGTGGTTCTTTCTTTGCAGACCTTCTCCTCCTCCTTACATCCCCCCTCCAAACTCAAGGGCCCTTCCCAGGCCCACATCTCCCCTGTACCTCACTCGCATGAAGGGGTTGTAGGTGAACTCCTCAGCAATGGTGGAGGGGATGGTTGGCTCCCCACTGTCATACTTGGCCTGTAACAAGGGAGAGACCTCTGCTTAGTGAGGAGTGTTTGGGTGAACCTGAAACATCCTGGATGTTAAGCACTCAGGGTCAGTGCTGCACCCAGCTGCCCGAGCTGCTCCTCAGGCCAGGCCCCTCCCAGAGCCATGCCCAACAGCTGGGCAGACAAGAAGAGGGGCACACAGAGAGGCCTGGGACAGAGCTGACCCTCCCAGGCAGACATCAGCCTGCTATCACACCGAGAGGTTTCCAGGGAGGGTCACATCTCCACCAGACAGCAAACCACCTTCTCTGGGCCACACACAGACCCTGTTCCCCCCACACCGCTCCCTGGGGGACAACACGCTGCAGCTCCTGGCTCTGAACCCCCCTCCCTCAGCCTCTTGCTCCCCATTTTCCTCCCTCCTCCCCCTCCTCAGAGAGGCTCTGCCTCCATGAAAGCACCAGGGAAGGAAGCACCAGGTCTCAGGGAGGAAGCACCAGCTCACCTTGGCCCAGGAGAGCTTCTCCTGCACAGCGACGTTATGGGGTTCAACGTGTCGAGCAAACTTGAGGTTGTTGATGGTGTATTCATGGCCACAGTAAACTCTCTAGGAAGGGAAAGGAAGAGTGACAGCAGGTAGATGTGATGGTACAAAGGGACCACCCCCAGTGTTACAGTACAGCAGGAACAAGGGAGCCAGCCCTGCAGGAGAGATGACACTCCCACTGGAGACACGCCCAGGAGAAGTGCTGGGAGTTACCAGGCAGCACCCACGTAGTGGCAGTGCCATGGCAGAGCCCAGGCAGCCCAGCTCAACACCTCTGCTCAGCAAGCAGCCCCAGCTCCCTCCCCACACAGCACAGCCACAGCCAGGGTGGGTATTGCAGCTGTTCAGCAGCCAGGACAACCCCTGCTGCAGCCACTCCTTCGACTCCTGAGAAACACCCTCTTTGAAGGGCAGGATTCTCAGGGAGAAGCTGCTCTGGTGCCCGTGGCAGTTCCTGGCCAGGGGGGCTACGTACCGTTTGGGGGTCCAGGCTCCCCAGAACCTCAATCAGTGCTCTGTACATCTCCTCTGGGGTTCCCTCGAAGAACTTCCCACAGCCAGCCACGAAGAGCGTGTCTCCTGCCAGGGGGATGTCACACAGCCTCAGGGCTGGGAGGGCACAGTGTGGGCACAGGGGGGTGCCCGGGGGCTCACTCCTGCCACCACTGTCCCTGCTGTGGCCCAGGGAGAGCCACCCTGCCCGCCACGGGCTCAGCTGCCACGTGGCAAACAGCTCCTGCTGCAGGAACCCCCCAGCCTGCCAGCACCTCCCTACCTGCAGACAGCCTCCTGTCCCTCAGTGGGGACAAGGAGCCTGGAGCCTCTTTGCTCTGGAGCTGAAGGAAGATGAGTTGCCTCTGCATTTTCTCCCCAGAGCTCCCTAAATTCTAGCTACAGCCTTTGCTTCTTCCATGCAGCAGCTGGCACGAGCTCTGAATGCCCATCAGGAGAGGGGGCACAGCCTGGGTGCTGCTCTGGGGAAGGGGGAACCCTCCTCTGCAAAGCAGGATCCAGAACCTGGCTACTCCAGAGGCAGCACCAGCCCACTCTCACTTCTCTGTTTTCTCCTCTCTCAGTTTTGGCACAGACACATGGAAAAGCAACAGGGTCTGAGGCAGTAAACCAACAGCTCTCCTCTCCAGGAAGAAAATGCTAGATGTAGGACTTGACTCATCCAGGGCACACTCTTGGTGTTGCTTGCAGGGTGTCCAGCAAGAGTTTACCAACCCAGAGGGGTTTCACCTACCACTACTACCCATCAGGAGTCGGTGAGGGGGCAAGAGGAGGATGTGGAGGAGCTGCAGGGCAGCAGGGGAGGAGGGCACAGAGGGAGCAGCACACAGGGGCAGTGCAGTTCTCTGAGACACAGACTGCTGGCAATGCAACCTCCCAACTCCTCACCTGTAAAAACTGCAGGTGGCTCGGAGCTATTTGGCTTAGTCACATAATAACAGATGTGTCCAGAAGTGTGACACGGCGTACAGAGGCATTTCACATTTAGAGATCCCACCTGAGAAGAAGGCAGAAGACTGGAGCTGAAGCTACAGTTTGCTTGCATCTCTAGGGTTAGAAAAGAATTGCAACCATTACAACGGCCCGGGGGTCCTGCAGGGAAAGTCTCACATAGCTGGGCAGTAAACATCAGCTCTGCTCCTGGGAGAGGCCAGCAAGGATGTTTTACAGATTTGGAAGGGAGCTCTTTGCTCCTAGCAGGTGTTGTGACAAAGAGAACTGGTGGATTCTTTCATCTCCACACAGGGTGACTCAGGGCCTGGCTGGCAGCAAGAGCCAGCAGATCCAGAGCAAGGCAAAAATCCTCAGCAAAGTTCATCAAGTGTACAAAGCTCCAAACAAAACTGAGGCTGGAGGGAAGAAGTGGATGACACTCACAAAAAGGGAAGGATTTAACACATTCAGGAGGGCAAGGGCCTGTTGGGACAGGGCAAGAAGTGATGGCGTTAAACTAAAAAAGGGAGATTTAGACTAGAGAGAAGGAAGGAATTTGGGATGCTGAGGGTGGTGAGACCCTGGCCCAGGTTGCCCAGAGAGGTGGTCGCTGCCCCATCCCTGGAACCATCCCAGGTGAGGTTGGAGGTGTCTCTGAGCACCCTGCTCTAGCTGCAGATGTCCCTGTCCCTGCAGGGGGGTTGGACTGGGTGACCTTGGAAGGTCCCTTCCCACCCAAACCCAAGTCTTTGATTCTCTGCTTCCCCCACAGCCCTAATCTGCACATCTTCCCACGTGCTTTTTGTGCCCCCTTCCCACAGGACAGGCCTCTCAGTGACACTCACACCACCCTGCACGTTTCACAGTGGTCTGTGTCACCTGCCAGCTCCTGTGCACACAGACAGCTCAGGGCCAGCAGGGTCTGCTGCTCTAGCTCTGGAAAGGCACCTTCTCACCCTGTGCCCCAGGCTCTGCCCAGACAGGACCACTCGCAGTTGTTTGCTGCCCAGCAGGCTCCAAGCAGAGCACCAGCCCTGTCCCTGTGCTCAGAACCTTCCACACCTCAGTGCTTTAACCCCAGTTAAAGCAGCTGTCAGGGAGCACGTGGACACCAGCGTGCCCCAGGTCTGAGCCACGCCAACGTCCTCATCAGTGAACCACCACCAGCCAAAACAAGACAGAGGAGTCATGGCTCACAGGGCTGGAGAAGGGTGAAAGGTGCTGTGACCACGGGACTCATTCAGGTTAGATCCCATCAGTCCAGCTTTAGAGCTGTGACACAAAGGGGAGGGGATGTCCCCAGCAGAGTCCTGCAGCTCACTCCCTTTACCTTCAGTGAGGTGAGGTGAGACACCTTCTGTGTGAGTGCTCCAACCCTGCTGTCCCCTCCGTAGACACGCAGCCCTGGCTCCAGCTTCACCAGCTTCTCGTTCCCTCCAGCATGGTCCCTGGAGAAAGATGGATTTGGGCAGGGATGAAGATACATTTGTCCTAACTTGTATCACAAGGGTAACCTGGGGGTGATCACTTCTGATTGTGGTGGGTGAACCCTGGCTGAGAGATGGCCACCCAGCCACTCTACCACCTTCCCTCAGAGCAAAAGGGGAAAGGAAAATGAGATGGAGACAAAACCCTTTGTGGGTAACAACAAAAGCAGTTTAATTAGAAAGCAAAGGTAAGCAATGGAAGTGAAGAGAAAAAAAACCCACTGATTTATGCTCTACTTCCCATCCCCAAGCAATGTCTGGCCCCTCCCTGGTCAGCAGGGCTCCAAAACATGTAGCAGTTGCTCCACAGGACCAAGGAGTAGCCCCTCCTCCTCCTCCTTTGTACCAGCTTTATAGTGGAGCTGACATCATATGGTCTGGAATATATCAGCTTGGTCAGCTACTCTGGTTATGTTCCCCCCAGTATCCTGCCCCTCCTATCCCCCTGGGGAATGTCAGAAAGAGCCTTGGTGCTGTGTGAGCCTTGCTCAGGGGTAGTCACAACACGGGTGTTATCAACACCCTCCTGACTCCCAGCACAGGAGCCCTGCCCCAGGAGGCTGCCCCAGGAAAATCAGCTCAGCCAGACCCCACACACTGATCACTTCTTCTCCCAGTATCTAACGCTCTCCTCCTACCACTGAACATTCCTGAGCCCTCATCCTTCTCCTCACTCCTAAGCTCCTGCTTGGAGAAGATCAACTTGATGCAGAAAAGCCAAATTTCTCAGCTGTTTGTGTCTAAGCAGAGGGATCCCACAGCAGCAGGTAGTTACCAGTGATGATGTGTGGTCAGGACAGTGGTCAGCTTCACGCCGTGCTTTTTAACTGCATCCAAAACCTGCAGGCAAGGGCACAGCACGAGCATTAAATCTCACACAAAAGGGCTTCAGAGCACACCTAGCTCCTGGCAGAACCTGGACATGACTGCTCCAGGGGTGGAAAGCCACACCAGCAGCTCTCCAGAGAGCTCAGCCCTCCCCAGGTTGTAGTTACAGATCAGGACACGAGGTCTCTGCTCCAGCCAGCCACAACCAAGCCCTCAGTCCCATTTCCTCTTCCCTGCACTACATCAAATTACAGGCAAAACCCAAAATCAGGTCAACAACTCTTGAATTCAGGGAGAAGCTGCCTTTGCTCAGCAGCAGCCAGCCTGTGAAGCCCTCTCCACCCCGTGCACGGCCAGTATTTCCTGACTTTCCCCCATGCCTGAGTCAGCCTGTGACTAATTCTCTCGTGGATGTGGCAACCTGGAGGGACTGCCCGGAGCTGCAGCACCCTGCTGCCCGGGGCAGTGGAGAGCTTTACCTTCTGGGGCTGCACAGGATCAACGATGGCAGCCTCCCTTGTCTCCTCATCCACCAGGAGGTACATGTAGTTGTCTGTGAGGGCTGGGAGCAGTTCCACCTTCATGTCTGCCTGGGTGACCGTCCTCGGCGCCCTCCGCTCGTGCTCGGTGTGCAGGAAGGCAGGTCGCAGCTCCAGCAGACCTGGGGACCCCAAAACATCAAACCAGGTCAGCCCCAGGGAGGGGAACAAGTGGGGTGGAGCACAGCAGGTCCCCCAGCTGACTGCCCCCAAAGAAGGAAGGGCAGGGACAGCTCGAGCTGCCTGCTTCAGGGGAAAGGGAGAGGGGCCACCGTGGGACGGAGCCTCGGTGCCTGGCTGTGCCACCCTGTGCCCCAAGCACTGCCAGGCTCCTGGTGCCCTGTGGCATCACCACAGCAGGACAGGGCCCTCTGTTCCAGAGGTGTGCTCGTGCAGGGAAAGCACCATACCTCCCCTGGAGAAGGTTGGAAGGGGCAGGGAAGTGGAAGGGAGAGGGAACAGCTGGACAAAGGTCAGCCTAGGATAGTGACTTGGCAAAAAAAAAAAGCACCAAAGGCCATGTTACAGCCAAAAGACAACCAAAAAAAAGGAGAAAGGAAGAAACACACACACTGCTGTATGAAAACCACGGTTCATTCCTTGGGGGAATCCCACCCAGAGAAGCCAGGCTCTCTGTGTGGAAGGCTCAGACCCTGTGCCAGGCACGGGCAGGGCTCTTGCTCACTTGCTCACAGGGTTCAGTGCTTCCCTGTTTGCCTTTGGTTCAATGTTTAATCAGATCCAAGAAACAAATTAATTCCAGATGCAAATAACCTGGGTTCCACCGTTCAACTCACAGACAGGCAGCTCTTCAAGAAACAACCAAGCCCCAAGAGGCTCTGCCAAAAGAAGTCAGGAAGGGAAACAAGGAGGACAAGGTCTTCCATGGCCAGAGCCCTGCAGCACAGGCCTGGGTCTGCAGGCAAGCAGGGAGAGGGCACCAGTCTCTGCAGGCCAGAAATGAGCTGGTTTAACCCCAAGGCCCTCAGGCAGAGCTGGAGGTGACTGTGCTGGTCTAGAGTGGTGCCAGCCCAGCCCCTGTTTCATTCTGCACCCCTGACTCTTCCCCCAGGGCTCCCCACACCCCACGCTTGGTCACCTCCACCAGTGCCAAAGGGAGGGGTCACCACGCTCCTAATCAACCTGCCCCACGCTCCCAAAACAGGCCAGTCCTGCTGGCCCCTGATAAGAGCCTGCTCTAGAGAGCAGAGGCCCCACAGCCCCCCTGCAGCTCCACACACCACGGGGGCAGCGAGGCTGCAAACCCCAAATCCCAGTTCTGAACTGGACACCAGCCCCGTGGCAGTGGGAGCTCTAGGGCCCCTCAGGGATAACTGTCCAGCCCAGGATTTTTTCCCCTTCTACCTCTGCCATCTCATTTGCTTATGAGAGAAGGGGGGGAAGAAGGGGAGAAGACTGTAAAACTAAACACTGTGCTGCAAAGAAGACCCCAAGGCACGAGAGCGTGGACATGTGCTGGGTGTGTGATGGGGAAGGCACCCAGGACCTGCCCAGAGTCCCTCTGGAGCAGAAGAGCCCTTCCAAAAAAAGGAACAGAATAAGAAAAAAAAAGCCATCCTTATTACTTCCTGATTCTTAAAAAAAACCTAAAAATCATTTGCTTTTTAACTGCTCCCTAACACAAAGCACTTTTGGAAGCTATCAGTCACAGGGACTATATATACACACCATGTGTTTGCATGCTGGATGATAACTGGGGAAAAACAAACCAAAAAACTCAACCAAAACCACAAAAAAAAAAAAAGAAAACACAACCTCAACTTCAAGTCAAACGAATTATTCGCATATTTAAAACACTTTCTTGTTGTGAACCCTTTCTCATCTTGGCCAGGATCCCAACGTTTCTGTGTGTTTAGTTCCCAGTTCTCACCAAACAAACAAACAAAGCTGCGTGGCATGAGGAAACACTTTCTGAGATTGAACTGAAACAAAGGAATGAGAAAACATCTGCCAAGTACGGAGCTTCACACTGGGGTTTTGTAACACATCCCTCCCGACACAGAGAGGAGCAGGGAGAGCAGGACGCCAGCAGGGTTTGGTTTTTGGCAGGGTTTGTGAGCACAGCCTGAGGTGCCCAGAGGAAGGGGTTTGCAGGAGGGAAACGTTCAAGCCATGGTCACAGAACCAGGTAGGTGCTGGAGGCTGCAGGAGAGCAGGCAGCAGCTCAGCACCAAAAGGCAGGTTCCCTCAGAAAAGGGGCGTTTCGGATGTTTTTTCCACATCTACTCTTTTTATTACATAAGAGAGTGGAAAATTCCCACTTCAAACATAGCTGCCACTCAAACCCTGCTGCACACAGGCACCCAGACAACACCCCTGTGCTGCCTCACCAAAACAAACGTCACGCTCGCTTTTTGCACACGCTGCATGCAGATATTTTTTGGATACCCAGGGAGGTTGTGGCTCCACACCAAGCGAGCTGGTCCCCAGCCCCAGGCCAGCTCTGTTTCCGCCCCCGGCCCCTGCCCGCCGGGCAGAGGCTGCCGGTGGCCCAGTCAGCGTGGGCAGGACATGCACCCACCCACCGATGGGGCAACACCTGCCTGGAAGGTGCAGCACCCACCCTGCAACCTGGGGAACTCAGGAGCTGCTCCCTGCCCGGCCTGACGTGCTCCCAAGGGATCAGCAAGGGTTCCCTGTCTAGCAGTAACTCCAATAGATTCCTGCTCTAATTTAAGGCCAGCTCTTAAAATCAGAGTGATGCAAAAGGCCTCTGGAAAGACCTCCCAGAGATGCTGTGAAGCTAAAGCCCA